CCGGTATTTTCAACGTGGTATGGCCGTAGACATTCTTTTCCTTTCGCCGACTCCCCTTATACTGAAAACACCCAGTGTCGCGCACGCACGCACAATAACACACACAAATACATGCTGGGCGCACAGGTACAGTCCATAGCTGCCATCAGGGATCTAGGGCGTCTGCCTGCGTGCGGCTGCAAATACGCAATTGCATGCTGGGTCAGGGGTTCGGGGAAGAAAGAAAAAAACACCTTTGAAGATAGACTGAAGCCGCTGAATAATCAAAAAGAACGTAGATCTACGCAGCACTGTCCTGTTTTCTGTACGACGAACACTGAAGAAGAACTGAGCCTTGCAGCAAGGAAGACAAAGAAAGAGAAGAAAAGAAGAAGAAGAAAAGAAATGAAATGAAAAGGAAAGAAAAGAAAAGAAAAGAAAAAAGTCTACAGCACGAGGTATTCCCAGGCGGTCACCCATCCAAGTAATAACCTCGCCCGACGTTGCTTGACTTCGGTGATCGGACGAGAACCGGTATTTTCAACGTGGTATGGCCGTAGACATTCTTTTCCTTTCGCCGACTCCCCTTATACTGAAAACACCCAGTGTCGCGCACGCACGCACAATAACCCACACAAATACATGCTAGGCGCACAGGTACAGTCCATAGCTGCGTTCAGGGATCTAGGGCGTCTGCCTGCGTGCGGCTGCAAATACGCAATTGCATGCTGGGTCAGGGGTTCGGGGAAGAAAGAAAAAAACACCTTTGAAGATAGACTGAAGCCGCTGAATAATCAAAAAGAACGTAGATCTACGCAGCACTGTCCTGTTTTCTGTGCGACGAACACTGAAGAAGAACTGAGCCTTGCAGCAAGGAAGACAAAGAAAGAGAAGAAAAGAAGAAGAAAAGAAATGAAATGAAAAGGAAAGAAAAGAAAAGAAAAGAAAAGAAAAGAAAAACGTCTACAGCACGAGGTATTCCCAGGCGGTCACCCATCCAAGTACTAACCTCGCCCGACGTTGCTTGACTTCGGTGATCGGACGAGAACCGGTATTTTCAACGTGGTATGGCCGTAGACATTCTTTTCCTTTTTGCTGACGATATTCTATTGTATGTTTGCGGTACGCAGAAGAATGCGCTTAGCAACTCCCTGTCTGCAGCTGTCTCAGCCATTAGTACCTGGCTGTCAAACCGCAATTTAATTCTAAATGCTCGGAAGACACAAGTGCTCTTCCTGTCTACGCCACATATTACTGACCACCAATTTTCAGTCTACTGCCATGGAGTGCAGCTCAAGCAAGTGACATGTGCAAAGTACCTTGGAATACATTTGGACCAGGATCTTTCTTGGAGCACTCAAGTTGATTCTATGGTCTTCAAACTAGCCAGTAAAATTGGTATTCTGTTCCGAAATCGACACAATATTCCGCTGACTTGCCGAGAAACCTTAGTAAAGTGCCTAGTGTTGCCAGATTTTCTATATGCATCAAATTGTTTTTCTGCTGGCCTTTCCTTAACCCAGTTAGGTAGGCTTGAACGAATGCTAAAGCGAGCTTTGCGTTCAGTGTACGATACTGTTTTTTGTAGCCCATCAAGCCCTTTATTTGCGAGACTTGGTCTAGATCGTTTGGCAACCATGTATTGCAAGAAATTACTGTATCTGACGTGGCGCTGTTTGGAAGGCCGCTGTAGTGTCACATTAAGTCAAATGTTCGAGCGTTTAAATAATGGTCTTGCAACGCGCAGCCTTGTATCACGCACTCTTAAGTTGCCCATGCTCAGAACTGCCTTTGCCCGTCATGGCGCTTCCTTCCAATGTGCTAAGCTGTGGAATGATTTGCACCCTCTAGCTCGCTGTGTGGATAACTCCGCCCGTTTTAAGAAACTGTTACCCCAATGCCTTGCTTTTTCACGCTAGTAATTATGACTTTCAGCTATGCAAAATGCGAACATGATCACCTATCCAATACCGGTAGTCTATCATATTAATTATTCATATCTTTTTGCATCTTTCCCTCGAGTGGGTCTATTGTTATTAGGCAATTGTCTGTTATAGTCACCACTATAAATAAAAATCCAATCCAATCCAAAATCCTTTCGCCGACTCCCCTTATACTGAAAACACCCAGTGTCGCGCACGCACGCACAATAACACACACAAATACATGCTGGGCAAACAGGTACAGTCCATAGCTGCCATCAGGGATCTAGGGCGTCTGCCTGCGTGCGGCTGCAAATACGCAATTGCATGCTGGGTCAGGGGTTCGGGGAAGAAAGAAAAAAACACCTTTGAAGATAGACTGAAGCCGCTGAATAATCAAAAAGAACGTAGATCTACGCAGCACTGTCCTGTTTTCTGTGCGACGAACACTGAAGAAGAACTGAGCCTTGCAGCAAGGAAGACAAAGAAAGAGAAAAGAAGAAGAAGAAAAGAAATGAAATGAAAAGGAAAGAAAAGAAAAGAAAAGAAAAGAAAAAAGTCTACAGCACGAGGTATTCCCAGGCGGTCACCCATCCAAGTACTAACCTCGCCCGACGTTGCTTGACTTCGGTGATCGGACGAGAACCGGTATTTTCAACGTGGTATGGCCGTAGACATTCTTTTCCTTTCGCCGACTCCCCTTATACTGAAAACACCCAGTGTCGCGCACGCACGCACAATAACCCACACAAATACATGCTAGGCGCACAGGTACAGTCCATAGCTGCCATCAGGGATCTAGGGCGTCTGCCTGCGTGCGGCTGCAAATACGCAATTGCATGCTGGGTCAGGGGTTCGGGGAAGAAAGAAAAAAACACCTTTGAAGATAGACTGAAGCAGCTGAATAATTATTATTATTATTATTATTATTTAAATTTTGAATAGGGCAATCCCCACAGGCCTAAGGCCTTTTTACAGGGTACCCTATGTGGTCACGTATAGATTTAATCAAAAAGAACGTAGATCTACGCAGCACTGTCCTGTTTTCTGTGCGACGAACACTGAAGAAGAACTGAGCCTTGCAGCAAGGAAGACAAAGAAAGAGAAGACAAAGAAAGAGAAGAAAAGAAGAAGAAGAAAAGAAATGAAATGAAAAAAGTCTACAGCACGAGGTATTCCCAGGCGGTCACCCATCCAAGTACTAACCTCGCCCGACGTTGCTTGACTTCGGTGATCGGACGAGAACCGGTATTTTCAACGTGGTATGGCCGTAGACATTCTTTTCCTTTCGCCGACTCCCCTTATACTGAAAACACCCAGTGTCGCGCACGCACGCACAATAACACACACAAATACATGCTGGGCGCACAGGTACAGTCCATAGCTGCCATCAGGGATCTAGGGCGTCTGCCTGCGTGCGGCTGCAAATACGCAATTGCATGCTGGGTCAGGGGTTCGGGGAAGAAAGAAAAAAACACCTTTGAAGATAGACTGAAGCCGCTGAATAATCAAAAAGAACGTAGATCTACGCAGCACTGTCCTGTTTTCTGTGCGACGAACACTGAAGAAGAACTGAGCCTTGCAGCAAGGAAGACAAAGAAAGAGAAGAAAAGAAGAAGAAGAAAAGAAATGAAATGAAAAGGAAAGAAAAAGAAAAGAAAAGAATAGAAAAAAGTCTACAGCACGAGGTATTCCCAGGCGGTCACCAATCCAAGTACTAACCTCGCCCGACGTTGCTTGACTTCGGTGATCGGACGAGAACCGGTGTTTTCAACGTGGTATGGCCGTAGACATTCTTTTCCTTTCGCCGACTCCCCTTATACTGAAAACACCCAGTGTCGCGCACGCACGCACAATAACCCACAAAAATACATGCTAGGCGCACAGGTACAGTCCAAAGCTGCCATCAGGGATCTAGGGCGTCTGCCTGCGTGCGGCTGCAAATACGCAATTGCATGCTGGGTCAGGGGTTCGGGGAAGAAAGAAAAAAACACCTTTGAAGATAGACTGAAGCCGCTGAATAATCAAAAAGAACGTAGATCTACGCAGCACTGTCCTGTTTTCTGTGCGACGAACACTGAAGAAGAACTGAGCCTTGCAGCAAGGAAGACAAAGAAAGAGAAGAAAAGAAGAAGAATAAAAGAAAAGAAGAAGAAGAAAAGAAATGAAATGAAAAGGAAAGAAAAGAAAAGAAAAGAAAAGAAAAAAGTCTACAGCACGAGGTATTCCCAGGCGGTCACCCATCCAAGTACTAACCTCGCCCGACGTTGCTTGACTTCGGTGATCGGACGAGAACCGGTATTTTCAACGTGGTATGGCCGTAGACATTCTTTTCATTTCGCCGACTCCCCTTATACTGAAAACACCCAGTGTCGCGCACGCACGCACAATAACACACACAAATACATGCTGGGCGCACAGGTACAGTCCATAGCTGCCATCAGGGATCTAGGGCGTCTGCCTGCGTGCGGCTGCAAATACGCAATTGCATGCTGGGTCAGGGGTTCGGGGAAGAAAGAAAAAAACACCTTTGAAGATAGACTGAAGCCGCTGAATAATCAAAAAGAACGTAGATCTACGCAGCACTGTCCTGTTTTCTGTGCGACGAACACTGAAGAAGAACTGAGCCTTGCAGCAAGGAAGACAAAGAAAGAGAAGAAAAGAAGAAGAAAAGAAATGAAATGAAAAGGAAAGAAAAGAAAAGAAAAGAAAAAAGTCTACAGCACGAGGTATTCCCAGGCGGTCACCCATCCAAGTACTAACCTCGCCCGACGTTGCTTGACTTCGGTGATCGGACGAGAACCGGTATTTTCAACGTGGTATGGCCGTAGACATTCTTTTCCTTTCGCCGACTCCCCTTACACTTCTTGCTTATACTGAAAACACCCAGTGTCGCGCACGCACGCACAATAACCCACACAAATACCATGCCATGCAGTAATCATGGTAATGTGCAAATGACAGCATGGCAAACCTTTGTCCCTCTCGAACGGGAGCGAAAAGTCACTTTTTTTGCACCTTGGCCTGTGGACTATTATTTTTATGAAAAAGAAGCTCGCAAAATTATTTTGCTTTTTTGTAGTTTTGAAAACTGTTTTGGCGATGATGGTACGTACATGTACATGTAGTATTTGACCTGAATTGTGAACTCAAACTGTAGCTACGAAATCTGACTTGCTCATGTTGCGAGAAGTCGATTATTGCATTCATCTCGGCATTAGAAAGGGCTGCTTTTCACCTGGTTCCTCGGAAGACGATGCAGGTACCGAAGGCCATTGCGCTATGTGATAGAATTCTGAACGATGAACTGATTCGTTAGCAATTGATTCTGCACAATTTCTAGGCTCAGGATGGTCGTGGCGTGGATGTGGCTTTGTCCTCATTGGCTGGACGAGTTGGAGACCTAAAACAGTCATTACGCGCGTTGCTTGTCAAGCTGGAACATGAGAATCACAATTGGTTAGGTTCGAGCCTTTCTGTGTGCATTCTAAAGTTTTCTAAAGTAGAGTCTTCTGTGTGCATTCTAAAGTTTTCTAAAGTAGAGTCTTCTGTGTGCATTCTAAAGTAGAGCACTCTGTCCACTCAACTTGTACCCTGTATAACAACACTCTGCAAAAGTCCGAGTAAAGAGCAAAACCACTGCAATCTATCACGCATGTACATGTACAGTCTAAAGTCTATATGCCCAACAGTATGCAACTGTGCACATAGGGTCTGGCATGGCGTGCTGCTCACATTGCGTAACCACTGGCGTGCCCGCTGGGCGGCAGTCCGCTATATTATTACAGTATTATAGTTTAGTCTGCTACGGTTTCCAGCTTCTAAGTGTACGTCTCTTGGAAACTTCGGAAGGTTTATGAGTGACACATCGCGCACAGGCACTCTCTTTGAACTTTACTAGTCAGGGGCGTAGCAGCCGCTCCGGCCGGTCCGGCTTTGGCCGGACCACTTTTTCGCCCGACCACGACCACCATATTAAAACAATGCCAAAAGTGCCCAGAATGCAGGATTTTGCACCCTAATTTCAAAAAAATTCCGGGCCCGGACCACCCATGGCCGGACCACCCCCAACGACGGTGCTACGCGCCTGCTAGTAGCATATTATGTGTGAAAGCGTTGCCCCTAAACCACAGAATACTGTAGATGAGGTATTTTCATGTGTTTTTTTCCTATGAATTTTGTCCCCCCCCCCCCCCAGCATATGAAATTACAACTCAGGAGTCGAAGAGTCCACTGCTACATTCCGTATGCCTGTCTCATTGGCGTGACGAGCCCATCGCGAATGCTATGCTGATGATCGTTTGCGAGAGATGCGATCCGCTTGTGAGAGGTGCTCTTGGCAGACAACTTCTTTGCAGCGTTTGTGCTTTTTCCGTTAGTCAAAGCGACTGCTGCTTCAGGATCGAACCAGACCACGATCGGCAATTTCCGGAAGCCTCCCGGAAACTGGTCAATCCACCGTGCTATTTCAACAGCTATGCCTTTGCTGCTTGCACAAGTCCAAGTCAAGCACCAAGGACAAAATTAGCGAGCGTGTGAAATTTCTCGCCTGCTTTTCGAGACTGACGTAGTCGACCTGTTGTAGGCACTGCACTGCTAGCTGGCTTTCCTGAACTACTGCCTACAGTACTGGTCGTGGCAGCCGCATTTGCTAATACTGCTCCCTCTGCACCGTACCAGTGCCATACCGCACACTCGTGAGTTAGTCAAGTGTCAAATCAAGTCAGCGGGAAAAGCGCGAGCCCCGGCGCAGAGAGCAACCGCCTTCTTGAAGGGAAAGTATGCTAGCTCCCTGAGATCAATAAGCCCATTGCGCCATTCCGCATTGCCAAATATGGAATGCGTAAGTAATGTGAGCACGCTAGGGTCAGGAGTGCACTGTTGAACACCCCCAGACGGCCATGCCCAGGTGGCTGTGCGGGGTGTTTGCGGTACAAATTACTTCATTGCGCAGTGGGCGTATTGTCCTGGCAGCCCACGCTACTTTTGACAAGACCGGTCTCAGGGACCTAACACTACTTTTTAAAACGTGCCATGCAAACAGCAATCAGCAGGTACTTGATACCCTCCTCTGTGTTCAATGTAGGCATGGTATTAAAAATGGGAATTGTAAAATTCTCAAAATGTTGTGTTATCCGTAGTCTTTTTAAATTATTTTAATCCTTGGCTCTCCATCCGAGTCTTGTAAAATTCTCATTTGGCAAGGCTGAAGCTCAGGGAATGCACTCTTTTCGCTGAGACTGTTCAAATTCGAATTTCTGCCAGGCAACTTGTACTGTGTGTCCACATATGTACATTGTATGTTGTGTTGGTTATTGCGCATATAGGCCGTCAATTCTTGACAATTTCACTGCACTATCTGGGCATGTGAGCACGTTGGTCAAGCAACTGAAGAGTGACAAAACACCTCCACTTCAGAATCTTGTTGTTCTTCCTTTGGAGATCCGCAGTGAGCCAGACAAGCATTTAGAGGTGTGTCGGTGGATGTGGCCGTGCTTGTGTCTGTTCTAGAATGGGGTGTTGGAAGGAGAGAATTTTTTTTGTCTTCGTCTGTGGCTGCCTGTCTTGTGTGCTACAAGTGCTTGAAGTGCATATCTACGAGTGTGAATCTGTGACAGTGTGTGTGTGTGTGTGTGTGTGTGTGTGTGTGTGTTTCCGCATGTGCTTTTTGTGTGTATATGTGTGTCTGCATGTGTGTGTCTGCATGTGTGTCTGCATGTGTGTCACTGTGTGTGTGTTTGTGTGTGTTTGTGTGTGTGTATGTGTGTGTGTGTGTGTGTGTGTGTGTGTGTGTGTGTGTTTGTAGTCAGTGGTGTTTGATAACCGCCTGCACGTAATGCACGGAGTCACAGGAAAGCGGTTTTATTTTCCCTTCTCCCTATGTGTGTACCTCAAGCTCTACACCTATTTGTGTGTGTATGTGTTTCTCTCGCTCTCTCTCCCTCTCTCTCTCTTTCTCTCTCTCTCTCTCTCTCTCTCTCTCTCTCTCTCTCTCTCTCTCTCTCTCTCTCTCTCTCTCTCTCTCTCTCTCTCTCTCTCTCTCTCTCTCTCTCTTCTCTCTCTCTCTCTACCACAACTCACTCCCTGTGTGTATATTGGTATGTGTTTGTCTACGAGTGTGTGTCTGCATGTGCGTATGTCTGCATGTACACCGTTGCGTGCTTCCGTACAGTTTTTGATCACATACACGATGGGAAGCTCACACATTGCCCACTGTACCGGCATGCGTACATGCATCTGCAGTGTTGAACCCATTCCAGAACTGCAGACGGTCAGATCCACTTTAAAAGACAATCAGGCGCTTTTTTCTGTTTGCTTACTCATGCTGTGCCTGTCAATATGACTGTGTTGACTGCAGAAAATAACTGAAGGTCGTGTACCAGTATTCCACCATGAAGTTGGTACGTATGCTTGCAATAGTTCATTTGCACATTGTAATGATGACATCACTCGGCTAAGCCAACCGTCAATTTTTTTTTAAACCTAATGGGTGTCGGTCGGGCTTGCCTTTTGACAGGCAGGAAGTATGAGAAGCAATGACGTTTTCCTCTTGTGCTGGTGAGGAAGATGCCAAAGAAATATTTAGGCCCGTGTCGTTAGTTGTTCAGTGTTCTTGCCAGTAGTAAATACCATCAACTAGGCCATACCGCACCATTGTTGCGTCCCGCTGTGCACGGCACACAGCGGCAAAGAAGCAAGCTCAGGCGAGAAAGTGTCGTTTCGCGCTTTCCCAAAGGCTGAAGCGCTGAGGAGGTGTACCAGATGGACCACGATGAAACGATAACAATGTCAGGTATAGAGAAATGTTTTCATATGAAAATAATCTTTGAAAACAATGGTCACATGATCTTCCAAGCTCGTGAGAACTCTGGCATGTGATATGAAAGCGCGTCCCACAGCCTACACCTTTCTTCAGATCACGTTGGTCTGAAAGCATGCAAAAGAACCATACTGGCTGCGGAGTTGATGGGAGCAAGACTGGCCGTCACTGCGTTGAGGCAGCAGATAGTGAGTGCGTTCGATTATGCCCGCGAATCGATTCATGAATCGATTCGCGCTATTCACATCACACCATGTGAAAGGGGAGAATGGATTCCGAATCGATTCCAGGGCTCATGACATGAAATCAAACGGCGAGATTCCATTCATGAATCGATTCAAGTGCGTAATCGAACGCACTCACCGGATGCAGACATGTTGACACTGCAGGAATTGGCAGCGGGCGTTTTGATACCGTGGCCACAGGCTCCGGACACGATCATGCAGAAACTGATTGTAGTTACCGGTACTGCAAAGTGTTCTTGATTGCGGATGTGATCATGCTGAAGGCACTGGGATTGGGTGTGTGGATGAAGAAGCTGTCTGTTATCCAGTGTCCACCTCCTCCTCAGTGTCTGTGCTGCCGGAGTGGGTACTGCACGATTCTGCTTACCAGGCAGGCAGAAGGTGCTGAAAATAGAAATTCTTAGATTTCTCGAGGCCAGGAAATGCCACATCGCGCTCAATCCGTTTGACGAGCAATCCCGCCGGTGTCCATACACCGAAATCAGCCTAGCCACATTCAGTCACAAACATTTGAAACTGAACCTGGTAGAAGTAGGGGTGTGATTTCTTGAGCTCCAGGTTTTCAGCATCACGGGGACAGGAAGGAGGGCTTCACTGTTGCTTCATAAAGTTACATCGTGCGGCAGCTGTAGGGACATTTTACCTCCACCAAACCAGTTCCATGTACATGATCTGACACAATCCCATCAGGTGAAGCAGCTAACCAAGGACTGTTGGTCCTGACCGCAAGGCCGCACCTGGTCAATGTAAAGCCTGGGGAAGTCAGTTGCTTAGTACTTGTAGTCAAGTATTTGGCTATAGCATCTGCCTCACGACGAATACCATAGCGTGTGGCTGCATTCCCGTGGAATTCACCGCCAAGTTTCTGGTGCACAAGTGGTTGAAAGTTGCTTCCACGCCGTGTGATGATTTCCTTGCACGACGTTGCCGTAATCCTTAAACGTCACTCTTCAAGAGCCGAACATGCATATCAAGTTGCTTCTCCGGAGTTCGTTATTCAAGCTTTCGTCGAACAACACTACATAATCTGACGCACTCCGCACTGTGCTCTTCAGCAAAGATGCAAAGTGGGGACCAAATCCGAAGGTGCTCACATACGAGCACTTCCGCTCGCCACAAGAAAACTGTTGGGCAATGGTGCTCTCTGAAAACTAGGGCCGAAACGATTGCCCATTTTGCCATAACGATTAACCAATAACACTAACGATCGATTTATTGGTTTTACCGATTTCCCTAACAAGTTTTATACGTGTCATGTTGGACATCAGTATACAGCAAAAACAATTAAATTCGTTCAACTATATACAGGTACGTATGGGTGAAAGATCCGCACAGGCCCAAAAAAGACCAAAATGAAATTTGCAACGTGATATGAGCAGTGTTCCTCTGCCATTAAACATCAGCTATCAGTCGTCTGTCTTCTACAATGGAGAAGGGTGGACTGGAATCGACAATCCAGTCGATGATCGACTCCGTCAACATGCCTGGGCGCCTGCTGTCGCACGTTCGCAAGTTACCTGTGCCGAAGACCGACGTGACGGGCTTCATTCCAGCACTGTTCGTCGCATTGTCACTGCGCTCAACATTGCTGGTAGTCGCCGTTGCTGTCGACTGGGTTGCTGATCCTTTCCCTACCGCAGCGGCGTACTGGTCTTTATGAGCAGAAATCAGGTGCTGGAACAAGTTGGTTGTGCCGCTTTGACGGACGAACTCGCGGCTGCACGAATTGCATTTCGCTACGCTATCAGCTTCCTCGAAATATGCCCAAGCTGGCGATCTCTTGGTCAGATTAACTTTCGCTTTTCCAGGCGGCAGCATTGTCACTGCTCTCCTCGCCAACAATCAAAAACTAACTAAGTTTTTCACAAGAACTGAACAAATTAGAAGGACGGCAGCCACACTCACAGTTTCGCTACAACCTAATAGTAATGAAGCTTTCCGGTTGTTACATTTTCCGGCTACGCTGACTAGTGCAGTGAATGTCGTGACTATGTAGTATGTACGACTACGACTCGAGTACGAGTACCCAAAAAGGATCAAGCGCTAGCGTGCAATGATTGTACGGACCTACGGCTTCATGCACGTGTACTTCGACGTTCATGTACTTGTGCGCATGACGCGCGTGCATGATGCCATGCATGGTCTGCTTGTACTGACGTCATGACCGCTCTCGCACTATACAGTCATAATCGTTATCGATCATAACGATTATCGATTTCATCCATAACGAGTGATATACGAGTAATCGGTATAATCGTTTCGGCCCTACTGAAAACATTTTCCGAAACAGGTCACCAACGTGTGTGCAGCTGTTGAACGAGTAGTTACTGTTCACAACGTTTAACACCCAATAAGCTTCAGAGGCGAGAGACTTCCAGACCATGCGAGGATGCTCCGGTTGGTTCCAAGAGTCTTGGAACCAAACGGAGCATCCTTGCTGTTCAATCGTGGCCTCGTAGCCTAGGCCGTTCTTATTTTCGTGTACTACACAGTCTATGCACAGTTGAGTTACCATGTACACATTGGTATGCTGTGCTTGGTAAAAATCCAGCCTGTTCGTTCTTCGGCACCCGGCAGTACTGTCCTGTAGGCCTACATTTACCACTTGGCATAGATTGCGAACGTTTTTTGAAATGTAACTCGGATAATGAAAAAAATCGACGGGTTCGCGTACCGGGCAGGTCAAGAACTAGGAGTCGTACAACTCCCTGGTCAAGAACCACCTTTCCGCTTCCGTGGGACGCCACCACCCCATGATCAGGCGTCAGATGCGGCTCCTAAACGGTGGGGGAGGATATATCAGATCCACCAACCAGAGGCCAAACTCGGATAATGAGCCAGTGATAAATGTTAAATATAAGAAGGAAACAAGTTATGAAGCAACTATTCACGACTGTAACAAGATAATAAGCAGTGTTGCCGTGGGACGTAGCTTGTGCACACTTTCGCTGCGCTCACCTTCCCCTCTTCGATCCTACCCAACCATGAACCATCCAAGTTGGAAGGCTGTTAGTTTGTTCACTGGAAATGTGTTAGAGCTAGGTCTCAGTCCGTTGAATGTCTCAGTAGCCTGTCAGTTTTGTGCCCTGTTATCGCCCTTTCTGACTACTTATTATCTTGTTACAGTCGTAGATAATTGCTTCATAACTCGTTTCCTTGTATTTTCTTCTTATATTTAACATTTTCAAAATGGTTTAACCTGTAGCGACCGGACTCACTGTCCATTACGTCATTCTACAAAAGCATGCGCAAGAAGTAAAATCATTCTCTTTGGCCTCAACTTCTTTGTTGTCCGGTTGGCCAAAGTAGCCGTCGTCTAGGGCCCGACGTAAAAACTCTAAACTGGTGACCCCAGACGCTGCGCTTTTCGGAGTTAACTAGTTTTCATCTTGCCATCCCTGAGCTCGGCTCGCTGCAGTTTCCTGCTCGCCTCAACTCTCGGGATCCCGTCAATCGCCGGCTGTTGACGTAAAACTTGAGCCTCACCATCTCGAAACTGGATCCGCCTCGGAGCTGCTGTGGCCCCTGCCACCCTCCCGGCCACCTGGATACCCCGCTATCCTGCCACGGCTCCACATCAGTCATTTTCGTCCTTTGTATTCGTCCTGGCCTCAAGCTGGAATTTGGCCACCTCCACCGTTCGTACCGGCTCAACTGTGCACGCACGCAGGCACACGCCCGGCACAGGACTTGGAGCTGCGCACGCCTCCATCCGTCCCCGCCTCACTCGGCACGCCTCACCCCAGTGCAGTGTTTCTGCTGGTACCCTGCAAAGCCTGCAACATGCAGCCGCCTCTGGCATGATAACACTCCTCTGTCACGCGTACATTTCCTCTTTTCTTTCTTTCCGCCTCTGATATGCTCTCCACCTCTGTCACGTTAACACACCTCTGACACGTTAACACACCTCTGTCACGTTAACACACCTCTGACACGTTAACACACCTCTGTCACGTTAACACACCTCTGTCACGTTAACACACCTCTGACACGTTAACACACCTCTGTCATGTTGACACACCTCTGTCACGTTAACACACCTCTGTCACGTTAACACACCTCTGTCACGCTAACACACCTCTGACACGTTAACACACCTCTGTCATGTTGACACACCTCTGTCACGTTAACACACCTCTGTCACGTTAACACACCTCTGTCACGCTAACACACCTCTGACACGTTAACACACCTCTGTCACGTTAACACACCTCTGTCACGTTAAAACACCTCTGACACGTTAACACACCTCTGTCACGTTAACACACCTCTGACACGTTAAAGGGGAAGTTAAGGCAAAAATTAAAATTTCACCAGTTGTAGTCTTCGGGGTGCTGAGTCGAATGGTCTTGGTCCGAGAAAGCTGAGACGCTCCCTTCCTACTTGAATCCCAATCGAACTCGCGCACTTCCACCGAAACTGGGTGACTGCGCCCTACTAGATGGGGATTTGTATGCAAAATGTCACTAAAAGCGCCGTTTCGTTCTTATAAAAGCACGGATGACCGCGATTGGCCCATATGTTGTAGTCTTTTGGACGCTGAGTCGACTGGTTTTGGTCCGAAAAGGCTGCGATGCAGCGTTCCTCCTTTATTCCCAATCGAACATGGTTGAACAAGCGGTCACGTGCTCCTGCGTACACCAGTCAGCTGGTCACCGTGCCTGCAGGGTACAACTTACTAGCCTGTTTGACCTTTTTTGGGTGCAGTCCTGTCACTCGAGTTGAACCTTGGTGTGAAAGTTGTCACCTGCTGGCGGTGTGACCAGGTGATTTGGGCACCCAGGAGCACGTGACCACTTGTTCAACCATGTTCGATTGGGAATAAAGGAGGAACGCTGCGTCCAAAAGACTACAACATATGGGCCAATCGCGGTCATCCGTGCTTTTATAAGAACGAAACGGCGTTTTTAGTGACATTTTGCATACAAATCCCCATCTAGTAGGGCGCAGTCACCTAGTTTCGGTGGAAGTGCGCGAGTTCGATTGGGATTCAAGCAGGAAGGGAGCGTCTCAGCTTTCTCGGACCAAAACCATTCGACTCAGCACCCCGAAAACTACAACTGGTGAAATTTTAATTTTTGCCTTAACTTCCCCTTTAACACACCTCTGTCACGTTAACACACCTCTTGTCACGTTAACACACCTCTTGTCACGTTAACACACCTCTGACACGTTAACACACCTCTGTCACGTTAACACACCTCTGACACGTTAACACACCTCTGTCACGTTAACACACCTCTGTCACGTTAACACACCTCTGTCACGTTAACACACCTCTGGCACGTTAACACGCCTCTGGCACGTTAACACGCCTCTGGCACGTTAGCACACCTCTGGCACGTTAACACACCTCTGTCACGTTAACACACCTCTGTCACGTTAACCCGCCACTGTCATGTATCTCTCTTTCCACTTTCTGCTTTCTGACTTTTGTTTCGGCCTTGTTGCCACGTTATCAACAAATTTCATACACGCAGCGCTCTCTTGTACATATTGTATTATATTTTTTTCTTGCCTTTCCGCCTTGTACATGCCGCGCTTCCTTTCCCTTCTCTCTCCTTTTTCTTGTTCATCTTGTTTCGCTCCTCCCGACCTCACCACTGGTGGGGGAGTACTGTAGCGACTTGACTCACTGTCCATTGCGTCATTCTACACAAGCATGCGCAAGAAATAAAATCATTCTCTTTGGCCTCAACTTCTTTGTTGTCCGGTTGGCCAAGGTAGCCGTTGTCTAGGGGCCGACGTAAAAACCCTAAAAACCAATGGATGAAGCTATCCACAAAATATATTCCATTGACATGGTACTGGAACTATTCTGTAGGTTCCATCCACTCTGGGCGAGATGTACGTATTTCTGATCCCGTTACTGTTGCATCATGTTCTTGTTGGTATTGCAGTGCCTGACTACCTTCGCACCAAACTTGACTTATCACTAGAGCAGCACAACCAAGCCCAACTGGAAAAGGCCACGGCTGCCATAGCTGCCAATCCGACGGACTGTGAGGTATGGTGTGTACATGTATACAGCCACCACCCCCCCCCCCCCCCCCCCCCCTCTCTCTCTCTATCTTTTTTTCAATAAAATTGAAAATTGTCGACTGGAGAGAAGTGAAATGACCAGACGAGCGATTTTTTACTACTTGGCCTGGAGTTGCAGTGGTGTTCCTTGAGCGAGGTGGTGGACAGCAGTGGATTTTCTCATGACAAGTTTGGATTCTCTGTACATGTACTCCTCTCTACAAGAGCTTTCCAGCGATCCTCAAAACCGGTGAAGTAGAACTGTACTTCGCCGTAAATATGCTGCCACTGATCTGCCCACCGGTTGGCTAGGGAGAGTGAGGGAGAGTGGGGGAAAGGGGGCTCAGAGTAGTGAAATCTCTCTAAAAAAAAGCAAAAAGGTTATAGAAGAACGGTATCAGATTGTCAATTCCGTTTACTGCATGCATTATGTAATGTTCTGTACTATGTTCTGTGCTATGAACCATGCACACGAGCAGATAGGATCAATGACGTCATAGTAGTGCAATATACGCATGCAAGTTAGCAGCCAACACAAAGGCTGACGCCGCTGCAAATTGCCAGCCCGCCAAGACGACGACATCATCCCCGAAGACGAAGGCCGACAGCCTGGAGAACTGCAAACTGATGGTGGATCCGTACTCAGCACGTGACGCTACCGTAGGACTTGTCCCACTTGGAGGCTAGTCGTATAGCGAGTCGCCATTGATACGCACGGTATTCAGTGTGCCGTGCACCGTCTGTTGAACAGACGAGCCGGGTGAAGGCGCTCTCAGCTCCTCTGCGGCCGTCTTGTACTTTCTCTTCTTGAGAGGCAGCACTGTTGGGCACGGCGTTCCAAGAGAGGTTTGAGCGGACGTACCTGGATGCACCGGCATCCACTATGCGGTTATCAAAGTACGCCACCCTGTCTCCCTCCCAAACCCCACGGACCAGCCAATCAGCCTGCAGTGTGGGACGGCTGTTGCCATCCTGCGCCAGCGCCAGCACAGGCTCGACAGTCACACCACCCCAGGCAGCGCCTGCCAGCCAGATATCAAATTTGTGGACATCATTGTGCCCGTGCTTCGATACCCCACCCTTCATACACTTTTACAGTGCCACCCATGCTGTAAGGAGAAAGCAGCTGCACAGCCATCGCAATGCGACAGGAGGGCATTCGGCTCCTGGCCATACCGAATCACCAACTGGCCGTGGAACTGGACCGCCATGTTATAGCCTTCCTGCCTCAGAGGAAGCACGGTCAACCAGCCGGACGCGTTGCCGTCAACGATACGGTTGATGGTCCGTTGTTGGCAAGGCGGGAGCGCGGCACGGATGACTCTACTGTGTTCCGTCAGGTGCATGTCTCGAGCGCGGCTGCCTCGCTGTTGACTTGATGTCCTGTGCTGTGTTCTATACTATATTCTGTTGTATGTTCTATTACTATGTGCTATACTATGTCCTGTGCTATGTGCGATACAGTCAGACCTCGCTTATCCGGTCCTCTTTCATCCGGATCCCTCGCCATCCGGAAGAAAATAGCTGGTTACAAATTTACAGCATACATGGTGCGTCCAACATAACCAGTGTTCGGTTATCCGGTTCCCTCGCCTATCCGGATATTTTTATGGAAAACGGATGTTAAGAGAGGTCTGACTGTACTATGTTCTGTGCTATGTGCTATACTATGTTCTGTACTATGTTCTGTGCCTTGCTGGCTGTGCAGACCAAGGTGAAAGAACTCAATGCATGCTGTGACAATCTCCTGGAGCTGGTCAAGTCGGTACGGGAAGACTGGGATGAGGCGTCTGCAACCATTTCATGTGAGTAATCTGACAAGTGTGGTGCTCACTGTCCATGTTGACTGTAGATGGGCAACTATTCGTCTGCGATTTCTTTAGTTAGAGGTCGAGTTTCAACCTTCCGTCAAGAACTTACTTTCGTTAATTTCGCAACAGAGATTGAGCGTTTGTGCCTGCAAACATGTACACTTTCTTATTGTGGCAAAGCTTCATTTCTGCAGGCAGATACTAGCGCTTCTCGCCGTCGGAGATGGAAACCGGCCCACAAAATGGCGAAAATGAGAATGCCTGTAATTTTCCAGTGGCAGGAGCCCAGTGCAGTCCAAGTGTCTTGCTTTCTGGGCTTTTAGAGCCAGTGGCAGGACATCGGACCTAACCCATTAAGCCCCAGTTACACTACGGCAAAAATGCTGCGTGAAGCGTCTGAATCATGAGTTTTTCCATGGCAACTGACGAAAACGCTGGAAATTTGAGCGTCTCGCGCAAGCGAATCGGCTGCGTTGCCGCTGCAAGCACTTGCATGGAAAAACAGTGTGTTTTGAGAATAGCGTACCGTACCGTGCTCTTATCGTAGGGATTTGGTTCCCCCACAGAGTGGTGTTGTTAAATGCGTCAGGCCGCGACGGCAAAAGCAAAAATGCAAAATGCAGTGTGACTCAACGTCAGCGTCAACTGCTTGAGTTTGACGCCGCGTCCAGCTTCAAACTTGACGTAGTGTGACCGAGGCCTTATGCACGGAAAAAATGTGCACCGACTGAATTTGACCTCTCAGCTCGCATCAAATTTCACTACGCTACCCTACGGGTCGTAACTCTGGTCTCCTTTTTACGATTTTTACAATCTTAGGCTTCCTGGAAAGCTCGTCACAAGTGGAATACATCAGGCCGACACTTGCTAAAAACTCAGTAAAAAGTAAAACATGCCAGCCCCACAGCCCAGCATCTAATTAGTCTTAGCCAGTATTCCGGAAATGTCATCTGGTCTTTTTCTGGAAACTGCCACCAGCCAGCGTGCCATTTCGAATGAGCTTCCACGCTGCAGCATGCTCGGGAGGGTGGCGAAATCCTTCATTCAAAACTGCACACACACACACACACACACACAACAGATATTGAACGACATCAGGGAAATCTTAGTCAGTGTTAGTCTGACTGTATACTTCATACAAGTTCATAGTACATGCATGTGACTGCGAGAGGGCTCATTCCTGATGGGCATGGGTACATCGTACACAGCCGTATTTAAATGTATAATTATAATCGCCCATGGTACGGAGGGCATGATGGCTGATTCATGCCCTAGTGCGTAGCCCGAGGTCGTGCACCGTAGCCCAGGGGCTACGGTGCACGACCTCGGGCTACGCACGTGGGCATGCAATCAGCCATCATGCCCGATCTGTACCATGTGTGTATTATAGTTCATACATGCCACGTGCCTAGTTGTAGAGACTGCACCCCAAAAAAGGTATCTGTACCGTCCGTTAGTTTCAAATACACCACAAAAGGAGCGGCAACAAGTTCGGCATCACAGACTGTATTCGCCTTCTTACAGTCATTTTGTGATATTTATTGTGAAAGAGGCACTGGACAAGTTGGCTCCAGCCATGTTGATAATTATCGGCTTGGGAGGATCTGCAGACTGGGCAGTGGCGGAAGTTCGTCATCCAGTGACGCAAAAACTTCCTAGACTTTGGCAGAAGACAATTCCGGCAAACCAGGAATGGTTAGCTCCTCATTTGGACTAACTTGCTGAGGTGGCAGACTGATCGTCGAGGGGCTTAACTGCTGGTGAAGCACTGATGCCATTCCTCTTTGTTGATTCGACGATGGCCTACTATAGCTGGTCAAGCTCTGGGCATTCCGATGTCCGGTGATCGCCATTATGCTGCGATCCGAAACACGTTGGTGAGTAAGAGTTGTTATAACAGTTGAACGTAGACAATGGTTGGTGTAAGTGAAGTTTTGTGTCGGCTTTCTCGCATAATATCCTTTAGCATACTGTCCATTTTATTCTTTCCAATTGGTGCGTTGAAGTACCACGGCTGTTGTCCTGTTTGGTCTACGTTGGGTCGTTGAAACAGCCGATCGCATACAGGATTCAGCTTGCCGAGATACATCTTGATACTGAACACTTGATGGCTGTCCTGTATGCGACCGGGTGTTAGAGCACTGGTATCGTTCTGGTGGTTCTTCGTGATAAAGTCGGTGGATAGGGTGAAGTACTCTGCTCCGCTGTCGTCCTTGCACAGTACCAGGTCATTCTTCTTCATCATTGCCTGAACTTCCCGTGCACGCAGTCCAAAGTACAGAGTCACAAAAAAACCATACTTGCTGAAGTAAAGTCTTTGTGTACTCCAAACATGTAACTTATTTTCTGCATATCTGTGTCAGAAATCGGGTCCTTATGCTTGACCAGTCTCAGCTTGCCTTCGCGTTTCAACTTTTTCCATACACCGTCAAATACATTGTTAGAACGCACGAACTGTGGATCGTTAAACAGGTCGAAACCACGGTCTTCCAAATGCCTGTTGAGGGCAGCACGAAACCCGTTGTAACTATTCCGTTGATATTTTGCTTCCATCCCATTTTTTCCTGCCAACGTAGCACTTGCACAGCACTTCGGCCAGTTGGTCTTTCAAACACACTTTCAGGTCACACTCTAAGTCATTCTCATCCACAAAAGCTTCCAAAACGCGTATCCAAACTTTAGTACACTCTTTCGTGCCTTTTGGTACTCTTTCATTCAAAATGTCCTCAACATCGTCGTCCAAAACCGGATCAAAGCGGCGTTTTGCAGTCGGAGACGACACAATGGCAACTTCGATCAGTAGGACACGGACACACTTCTGCAAGTAAGGTAAGGTTTCTCCTTTTGCAATATGTCTCTCTTCTCTGCGTGCGTGTTATGGATCGTGTGTACTACCTGTAGTTTCCTTCTTGCCATTCAGTTTATGGATCGTCCCGTACGTTCATATACTGCGTGGCAAGCAGGAAACCGCAGGTAGTGCGCATACTCCATACAACGTGCGTACTAGATGGGTCATTCTTAATGGGCACGGGCACACCGTACCCGGGCATAATCGACTGATTATGCATGGATATGGTGCTTCTCTGATTGGTCAAATCCTAGCAACGACCTGCAAACAGGCACGTGACATGTATGAATGACTGATTTTGCCCAGATACGGTGCTTCTCTGATTGGCGACACGCTAACTTACAATGTGGAAACAGGCTTGTGAAATAGTATCAACCCCTCTATAATTGCTCTACATTTTTGCTGCTGTATATTGCTGCTGCTGCTGCTGCTGCTGCTGCTGCTGCTATTGCTACTATTGCTGTTGCACAGCTGCATCTCGCCAAGATGAAGTAGAGACGGCGAAACTGGTTGCCGCCATGGCACCTGTTGCGGGTGAGTCTCGTATGCTCAGTTGTTTGCAGTGCTTTATTTCAGGAGTCAGTATTTCCACCCACTACTCTGTCTATCTTTGTTGGTCTGATTGTGTTGGTGATTTCATCTGCTTGTTCCCATAGCTGTACATTGCCACATGGCTTGCACATTGGGGGGGGGGGGGGGGGGGGGGGGTTCTGTGTGTGTATGTGTGGAGAGAGAAAGAGGGGGGGGTTCTGTGTCCACATGGGTGGGCTATGTGCGTATGAGTGCTCACGTGCACGTGTGTCTGTGTGTATTTGTGGCACGTTTTCATTTAATCCACTGTGCTTTATCGTCGTGTGCTATGCAGTTCCTGCTACGTCTGGGCGTTCCGGAAAGAGTGGAGGACAATTTAAATGTAAGCACCCTACAATCTGTACCCTGCCTACTGTAATCTAACTGCAGTCCGTATGACTGGATTTCCTTGTACGGAGAATAGCCGAATACCCGTTCAGTTTATGTTGAAGTGCTAATCGTGCTAAGTTCGTGATTGAGAGGCAGAGGGCACCAAGGATTATACCAGATGGATAGATTCCAACCCTGCTGGGACTTACACGTAATTGGGAGCTCGTGAGCAGAGCAGAACGGCGTTGAGAACTTGAGACAATGGTGTGCAGTGTTAGTGCTAGGTCTGCACATTCTGAGCACTGAACGGTTACTAGTGTGTCCATGAGGCCGACCGGATGTCCATGTACCACCACTGTAGTGGTAGATGCAGTAGTGTTCCCGTGTCAACTCCTGTGTTATGATGTTACTCACAGTGTGTGTGTATGTATGTGTGTGCGTGTGTGTGTATGTGTGTGTGTGTGTGTGTGTGTGTGTGTGTGTGTGTGTGTGTGTGTGTGTGTGTGTGTGTGTGTGTGTGTGTGTGTATCTGTGTGTGTGTGTGTATCTGTGTGTGTGTGTGTGTGTGTGCGTGTGTGTGTGTATGTATGTGTCTCTGTGTGTGTCACTATGTATGCGCAGCTCAAAGCAGCGTCAGGTCAGACCTGAAATCTGCAACGGCATCGCACCCCTACGGAAGATCATCGCGGTGATATTTCATAGAAAACTACGCAGAGTGCTGGCGCTTTCACATGACTGGCCACTGCCATCTGTTGGAGTCTTTGGAATTCAATGACAGCCGATCACCACCACACAATTACTAGAAGCTATTACGGTCTCTGCCGTGTCTCATCTGACATTCTGACTACAAGAATCGCATCAAAGCGCGTCACTCCATCGGCACAAGTCGATCATTATAAGCCAGAAAGCCCGATTACATGTAGTAGCTTGAGTACGCTGCATTCTGCCAGGGAGTGAGGCAACGCCCCAGACCTCTGCCATTATCGCCTTCGCTCTCTCGGGACCGAGTTGCCTGCCGTGTTGGCCCTACGAACGGCTACTTGACTTCACTCTTTCAGAGAGTAGGTCACTGGCAGTTGGGACTTGTTTGAATACCCTATGGTATTCCCTGCCTTGGTATGTTTGATGTCAGTCTGGACTGCCCCAAGACTGTCTTGCCCACGGCCTCACGGCTGCCATGTGCGATACGGCGGTGTGCTGCACGTGCACGTCGCTGTCACAGACGCCTCTCATTTTCCCTGCTCTGAGGAGTCCGCCCGCCAGCACGCAAAACTGTGTAATGTTGCTATGTACTAGAAGCGACCCTGGAATCAGTCTGCTGTAGATCTACAGTGCGTGTGCAATTCGTTGGTACTTGTGTACATGTAGTAGGGTGCTGCTACGAGTCTCAGTCTGCTGTGTACTAGTATTCAGGGATGTTGTCGATCCAGCTCTGGTCTAGCTGTAGGTTTTGCAATAGAATTCATCTTCAACTGAGCTGTTTCTTGTAGCTATCTTGACCATTTTTTCTTTCTTGTTTGCAGTGTTCTATTCCAACTGTACCTGCCCAGCAAGCTGGTCCCCTACCCCCTCCCCCCCTCCCCCCCCTCCCATTTCTGGCCCCTCACTGACATCCTGGTTTCTGTATGATCTGGGTAATATTTGATGGAACTTTTAGCACACGTTTTTATTTTTCATTCTTTTGGGTACATATCCAAGCTCTCCTGTGCTGGTCAGAGTACACCCACTACTTTCACCATTGCCCTGCAACCGTCCAACTCATTTATACCATAATATACACTCAACTGTACTTCATAAGGCTTTGGCAAAATGCCCATTGTCGGGTTTGCAGTGATGTGCCCGCAGTCTCAGAAACGATCGGTAATGATAATAGCATATTATCATACACTATACTAAACCAGGTACGGTACATTGTTCTGACTGTGACATGACGTGCCAGCAGAAATGATGGTGTGTGCAGATTGACTTTTCCACACCCACTGCAGGAACACCCATACCCCCACCCCCACCCTGCTCTGATTACTGATCATGTTTGAGCTTGCACACCATACTCCATTGCAGACCTGATGTTGCCAAAGGGGAAAGAGTGACGAAGTGTAGTCACTGCCGGATGATTGCAGTGTAAAGAAACTTGCTGTGACTTGTGAGTCGTAAGCCACTATTACACTAATGGCACTATGCCATGCACAAGACATAATCAATGGCATGACCCGAGGTCCTCACGGGTAGCACGGGTACCCGACTACCCGTGCACACCACTACTTGACACCAGTACAAAGTCAGAGGCAGGGAGTAGTAAAATAACTGGCCAGAGAAGTGCCCGCTAGCTACAAAATGCGGAAGCGATGTACAATCAAGTCATGACGATGCACGTGGCATCTCTGTAGCCAGAGCACGGTCAATGACTATGACCAAGAGTACATGAATGGTTTTCATGTACTCTTGCTATGACTATTATAGCAATAAAAACTGCTTTATGGCAGCTTTCTGAAAAAAGTTATTGTGTTCTACTCCTGGGTCCTTCCCCATAGAAAATTTATGAAATTGCTTTCCAAACTGCCTTGGAGTGGACTCCGTCTAAAAAGTAAGAAATTAACGAAATGTGATTGCGTGCTCGATGTCTGTGCCGATCGACAAGGCGCGGAAACTCCAGCAGGAGTGCCACCGAGCCTTGTCCCAGCCCTACCTGTCCATCCGTGCATTGGCTTCACTCCTGGGCAGGATGGTTGCGTGCTCCCCAGGCATGTTTCTGGCTCCACTGCCATTCCGCCACCTTCAGCAGTTGAAGATTGCAGCCCTGCGTCGCCATCAGAGCTACTTTGCCATGGTGCGCCTGACGCCGGAAGCCAGGACTGAGTTGGCGTGGTGGGCAGCCGATCTAGAAAACTATGGAACGGTCGCTCAATTCTCGAATCTCCCGCTCAGCTCACCATATTCTCCGATGTTTCCCTGCTCGGCTGGGGAGCGGTGTGCGGCACAATGAGTACCCGGGGTCGATGGTCCCCCTACCGAGGCCAATCTCCACATCAATGCTCTGGAATTGATCGCTGCCTCATTTGCGGTGAAAGCCTTTCATCACCGGGCCTCGTACCGTCCCCTGCGCATCAAGTTGTTGATCAACAACACGACAGCCGTCAGCTACATCAACCGCTTGGGCGGCACGCATTCCCGTCTCCTGTCCCAGATCGCTTGCAACGTCTGGAGATGGGCGGTCCAACACGAAATCCGCCTCCAGGCGGAATATGTGCCGAGCGAGGAGAGCCCAGCGGACCATCCTTTTCGGGGCTCCCTCTCCGAGTCCGGCGACTGGCGCCTGGACCCTGCTCTGTTTCGCAGGATTCAGAGGGCAGCTCCTTGGACCTTGGTGCTAGATCTGTTCGCATCTCGACTGAACACTCAACTTCCCGCCTTCTATGCTTGGAGGCCGGATCCGGAGGCTCTCGCTCTAGATGCATTTTCTCAGAATTGGAGTCTCCCTCATCAGGACGCGGTGTATGCTCCCTCTCTTTCTCTCTCTGCTATTGGCGCGCCTGGTTGTGATGAAGCCGAGACCCAAGGTCGGCAGAGCATCCCAGACCACACCACCACTCCCCTTATTCATGGCTCACACATGACGGGTTTACGTGGCTCTAGTAAAAAAATGCCTTCCCACCATTCTGCCTACTGGACAGGGTGCTTCATCGTGTGGCCTCACTCCATACTTGCCGGATGATTCTGGTCGCACCAGTATAGGATACGCAGCCGTGGTACGCGACTTTGCTGCAGCTGTTGGTCGATTTCCCCATGCTTCTGCCCACATTCGACTGCCTGCTACTCTCACCCTCGGGCCGTCCACATCCTCTGGTACTGTCCCGCCACCTGCGCCTCGCCGCTTGGCCTATCTCCACAGGTCGTGCGACTCCTCTCCTCCTCTTGGCGGTCATCAACCAATGCCGCTTACGCATCGGCATGGGAGCAGTGGCTGGGCTGGTGCAGTCAACGGTCAGTGGATCCCGTTCGCCCACCTTTAGCTACGGTGCTCCAGTTCCTGGCCGATTCCTTTGAGGACGGCCGCAGCTACAGTACCCTGAATGCCTATCGGTCAGCGATGTCTGCTACCCTGCCTGAGCTGGATGGTGCACCGATTGGCCAGCACCCATTGGTGATGCGTTTGCTCCGTGGCATCTGCCTACAGCGTCCGCCTCAGCCGCGGTACTCACATACTTGGGATGTGGGTATTGTCACTTCTTGGCTTTCTAAACTGACTTCCAACACGGACCTGTCTTGTCTGGAAAGTTGGCCATTCTGATGGCCTTGATCTGATGGCCTTGACTGCTGCTCGGCGCTCTTCGGACCTCCACCGGCTGAGCCTCAACTCTCATCGTTTCTCTGCCGAGGACGTGGTGTTTGACTATCTCACCCCCCCTAAGCAGCATCGCCCTGGTCTGGAACCAACCCGACCTGTCACCTTTGCTGCCTTTCCTGTGACTCCTGCACTCTATGTTGTGGAGTGCTTCAGGAAGTACTTGCGTCGGACCGCCGACCTGCGGCAGGCATCTTCTGTGCATCTGTTCCTCAGCACGAAGCGTCCGCACCACCCTGTCACCTCTGCAACGATTGCTCGTTGGATCAAGCAGGTTATGTCCAAGGCTGGTGTGGATACATCATTGTTTGGCGCCCATTCCACTCGTGCCGCTTCTACGTCTGCTGCGAAGCGTAAAGGTATGTCGACAGTGGACATCATGAAATGTGCTGACTGGAGTTGCGCATCGGTGAGTTCCAGTGCTTTTATTTCAAGCCGTGGGAGGGTGAGACCAGTGGCTCTTCCCCATCGGCACATCAGCAGTTCTGCCTCTCCATGCTTGTGCCGTAGCGCTGCCAGTGTTGGTCGGGCCAGGTTCTGAGTCTGTGACCTTGTGTCTACCTCAGAAATCCGATGTTGTCTGTGCCTGGCTTTCTCAATGCCGTTCTATCTGTGCATGTGTGCAGTGCACGGCTTTCCTCATTTTATCTTCCTTTTGCCATTACGCCTGTGTCCTTATTCTGGACAGGCCTTTTGTCATTTTCTGCGGCGTTCCGTGTCACCGGTTTACCCTGTTCCTTACTGATTTGGTGGTGTGCATGGAGTGCTGCATGCCCGGTTTGGGGTTCTCATGGCCTGCGTTGGTCCCTCTCTTCCGGTCTTGTGGTGTTCGCTTCACCTCTAATTTGAGCGTTGAAATCTACAGTGTTACATGGAGCGGAGCCTCTGATGTGCAATTGACGATTATACAAGGAACTCTGTTCTGATTCAACTTCTGATGTATAATCATAATTGCATGAAGAGGTGAAGCGAAATGTAACACTGTAGTCCCCCCCCCCCCCGCCCATCCCATTTACTTATGCACCGGGGAGTGCCCTTGGGCTTTATCTTGGCCATTGACGAGTTCAAACAAGGCCAAGGAAGGACTGGCCGAGCATGCATGTGAAGGATATGGTGTAGGAAAGAAAAAAGCAATAAAAAGCTTTGAAAACTGGTTATTTATGCAGTAAATATGTAGGGCCACAACGGCCACTACAGTGTTACATGGAGCGGAGCCTCTGATGTGCAATTCTTGCTTTGCCGGCACGCAACTTTATTTGGGGCAGTGCAATCTCAGCGCGCGCTACTCACAAATCAAACAGCTCAGACTCGACTCGAGTAAACAAATGCAATCGTACAAGATTTTCACGAGACACCCATTGGCTTGTTTCGTATGAAGCAAACCGTTGAAGTCACTGAACCTCTCCATAATGGAGATTTCCCTGATATGGGAATTTATTTTGTATACTTGGTCAATGCGTCCTTGAACCTTTCCCTCCAGATTAGGAACTGCCAACGATATTATGCCACTGCAAAATTTCAGATTCTACCCTATGATCGGGGCACGGAATGCCGGAAGCAATACCAGTGCCTTACTTGTAACGTACCAATGTACAATGAACATGCGGAGTATTTCGACAACACATCTTAAGCCTCAGCAGCAACATAAGCCTTACCGTCAAGAAGGTGAACTCGTGTTCTTCGCACACTGCGGTCAAGGGCAAAGATAATACGAATGGATCTAAATCCGAATAAAATCAGCACACGTTTCCGTAAATGAAAGGGTGAGCATAAACAAAATTTAAAGAATCGAAGGAAACTGGTCAACTCAGAGATCACCTACAACTTTGTAGTACCTGTCATTGAGTACAGTCCGGAAAAGGAGGCCTCAACCAGAGAGTTGCACACAACTCGTGAACTTTTTCGTAGTGGGTCGACGCATGCGCGCAGCGGCCGCGCGGGCCTGCGAAGAGTCAAGACAGGGAGTTGTAAAATATCAGTATTTTAGTACTCCAGGTAACGAAATTCGTAGACCTGCTCTGTTGTTTCGGTCGCGTTTGGACGCATCTGCGCAGCAACTACTTTCGTTACTCGAACGCAATCTCTCTATTGCCGTATTGGGCGCTACATGTATCCCTCTTCACAGGAAGAACACAATGGCACCAAGCCATCTTCATCCTCTGCGAAGAAGTGGCTGGGCCCCTCTACCATGTGTACAGCAGGGAGCCATCTGCATTGCCCGCCGGTAAGTGTTAGTGTAGGCATCCTTGCTCGACGCTGTGCAACAGCACTGCTACAGCTGCCGCGGTACCCGGTAGCCTCTGCTGGAGGGACTGATGAGTGATGTGCCTCCATAGTCATAGACCTACGAATCGATGTACTTCTCCTATCCGTCATCTGGTCATTCGCTAGATCTTATCTAAGTTATCCCTTATCCGACCGGCCAGTCAAAACTCGACGTGTGCATGATGTACCGGTAATACTACTAGTACAAGATGAAAAGATTAAGATGCAACGAACGCTTAGTGAAAAAAAGCGAACGCTTAGTACCAGGTAGCCGGTACATGATATCTCACAATGCTACTCCCTTCTCTGTACCTTGTACTCGTAGCTCTCACACGGGCTCTCTTAGTCTTAGGTGTCGACAATAACGCCCTTGAACTGTTACTTGAAGGCTTTCCTTGGTGTCATTCGACGAGTCTACACCGGAGAACTTTCTTCCATGTCTCCCTGGTGTAGACCATGTACTAGTGTAGAGACCCTAGTCTGCATGATCTGTGGCCGTTCTTCAAGTATACACCGAAGATGGAGGAAGTGTTCACCAGCGAAAGCATTCTGCACCATACATGTACATGACTGTACTTCCAGATCCTAGATCAGCAGAGTACACCCAACACGCTATTTGTGGATGGCTTTACGCTGCGCAGCGGTTGGCTTTCTGGACTATCCAGTCCCACCCCCGCCATCTTTCCGGTCGAGGAGGAGTAAACCTACACAAACTACTGGCAGGACTAACCAGGGAAGAATTGCTCTACATGTAGACATGTACATGTATATGTGTGTCGGTACATGTACATGTGTGTCGGTACGTGTACATGACTGTACACGTGGCAAAGGCACTAATTATACCAACAACCAACCAGCCAGCATTCGTCTTTGGGAGACAGCTCCAGCATTCATGATCTCTCACAAAGGTCCCTCCTCGTATTGCTTTCAAACTTCGTATGAACACGGTTGCAGGTTTGCGTTTCAGTTGCGGCACCAGCATCATCAGCAGCCTAATCTCTTAGTCTTACTAATATGTGCTTCCTAATCTCTTACTATGTGCTTCCATAGCCTTTACTATGTTCTTCCATAGCCACTTTTAGACTACGCCTTCGCCATCATATTGGGTCGTCATCCCGTTTGAATGTGCGAAGTAAAAATAAAACCAACCAACCATCAGCAGCAGCAACTGGTCATCGGGCAACATCATGCAAGTGTTGCATTGTAGCTCCAGGTCAGGGTGCAAGCAGTATTGCATGCGCTGTATGTAGCCTGTAGCTGGCGAAACGTCGCGTGCACTTCACAGTGAAACGTTCTCAATAATATGGCCGTATTTACATGTATATGTACATGAACACATGAATACAGTACTGAAGGATGACTAGTATGAGTATGACGATGAAGAAAGTGGACGACACGGAAGCTCTGGTCCCTTTCCTGCAATGCACTGAGTATTTGTAAGTGAGTATGTCCGGTCACGGGTGGGACTGGGTATTTTGTATACTTCTTTGCTATTTTACTTGAGCGATCCCAACAGACTCTATAACTTGGGTGGCCAAGGTATGCAGTGAGTTCATGGCGAAACGTTGGAGATAGCGACTCGGGAAGGATTTGGGAATCATTGATTCACGTGGCAATGATGAGCTCACCTGTACAATCATGACTTGTGCAATTCATGTACTTCAGTATGTGATCAGGACATGCATGTACATGACTGTATAATTATTATTGTCATGTACATGTACATAATCATTTGCACACTATTTTTGTCTTCACGACACGCACGCGCACTGAACTGTTACGGGCCGAAAACCTATAAGGAACAGCGACGATATGATAAAGTTGATAGGAATTATTCATTTGCCAATATCGCTACATTGTACAATGTTATGCACTTCTGTAAGACATGTACAATTCTAGTATTCCGTTGCTGCGCATCACGGTCATCACGTAACCGTTCATCAGCCTCATTACAATGCATGAAGTACAGTGTAGATTGGCATGCGACATGACAGGTTTCTTATGAGTAATTGTCAACGACATTGTCAACATACGCCTTGGCCAGGACCACGTAGACCACACTGGTCCATAGGCATAGTGTGATTCCAAGGAAATGGCGGATTAGAAACCGACCTCATGCTTGCTCAGATGCTGTGAGCTAACTTAGTTAAATTTGGATGTGTGGTCTGACACAGCGACCTAGTGAGAGTGACAGGGCCTAACCAACGAAGTCAATGTGGCATTTTGATGTGAGTGATTTGCGGCAGCGAGCATTCACCTATGATGTCCTATCTTGCATGTACTCACCATTGTCCTGCTGATCTGTAAGGACAGATAATAATTTTATGTACAGTTTTCAGCGCTGCAATCTACATTGATGACTTGTAAAACTCATTCAACCAGCGCGGTGTGCAGCATCACCGTGTCAGCTCACACTACTCTAGCTCTCGATCTCGTCCCTGTCTGCGTGGCACCGCAAAGCCTCAGAATATACCGTACATGTATACGGCAAGAAGAAGAGCCCCAAAAGTGGCGTTCGATGGAGGTCAGTGTTTACCGCTGTCAAACATGCTCGCATACTGCAGAGTCAACCTGTACAGCCTGAACTGACTGCACTTTTCAATGAACTACTTCCGAGTCCTAACCCTATTCAGTCTTTTCTTGCTGGTGGACGGTGTGTGTGTGTGTGTGTTGACTGTTGTAGCAAGAGTAAACAACCCCCTCTTGGTTGTAGTGTGGCACTTCATTTGGTGCGACTGGAGTGTGAGCAAACGCAGCCTAGCCTAGGTGCGACGAGGACGGAACAGGTCGACTGCCAGCAAGGTATCCACGCCACTGCTGTTTACTAGTTTAGCCCTGCTATTTTTAAGACGACAGCACTGCTAACTACAAAAATTAATATACCGGTAGTTACTTCGCACGCCAATGCCATAAACAGAAGCAGAATCTCCCTAGCTGTGTCACAGTGCAGTGTAGTGTGTACATGTATGTCATATACACTCTGATGAGTACAGTATGAACTATGATACCGTTCAGGCAGCCTCCGCATTTCATGCGAAGTCAAGTGGCACTGTAGCACCAGCAGATAGCTGTCCAACCCGACGACAGTGCGGGGTCGATAGTATTTTAGCTCACGTAACGTCGTTGCTCCTGCGCTATCTTGGCCGTAGTGCATCGGCTGCAGCAGGCCGCTCACGTCGTTGCCCACTACTTGGCACTAGCATTATCTACTTCTGAACTGTGGCACCAGAATACGCGCTGGAAAAGCCGCTCCAAGCAAAGACTTGAAAGAGTTACAATTACATGGCATCATTGTATTACTATCAGTAGAGCCTAGACTAGAGACTAGAGGAGCTGTACTGGTGCCAGTGGTGGTCGCGTCTCTTACTATTACTAAGTCTTAGTTTGAGTTGCACCAGTGCCTGGTCGTGTGAGAGGAAGTGCATTGTTGTGGTGTACACCGTGCTGACGACGGCGGCGGGGCTAATACTAGTGAGTACCCCGACGAACAGACACTGAGGCAGTGCTGCTGTTCTCGCTCACTGACACACGTCTACGTAGCTTTGTTGTACCGTGTGTGTGTCGGTGGTGGCCAAGCTTCCCCAGCGTTTGCAGCTTCCAAGGAGCAGAGGTGCAGAGCTTCCTCTTCACCTCCGTGCTGCTGGTCAGGCTGTGGAACATCGTCTTGAAAGTAAGTGCAATTTAAAACGGGAACACACAGGGTAGCTTAGCGGTGGAGAGCTGTTGTGAAGTCAGTTCGTAGGTTTTTAAGAGTTTGGGACGGCCGGAGGCAGTGCGCCTCGTCAGGGATCACATAATAATTCACCGACAGATCACCAGATCACCGTATTCATAATATTTACAAACACATGTGTGTCATGTTGTGTATTGTGTCACGTGTCTGTCTCACTATCATCCATTACTAGCGTCTAGTACATAGTATTTGATTTGAACGGCCCTACAATTATTTTTATGATTGATTATTTTAATAGTAAATTAGTGCAAGTGGGTGCAAGTGAGTGCGGTTTTAGTTGTGGATAATTGATGCGCCGTTCTTGCACAGCAACAATAGCAAAAGTACTAACAATACCACCGCATCCGTGCACATGTGTTCAAGCGCAGTTCATGTACAATGTAAATACAATAATTGTAGTCGTGTACACTATTTGGGAGTGGAATACATGTACATGTACATCTACATCTACAATCATGTAGCGTTGAAATTAATCTATCAGACAGCAATGCCTCTTCATGTAATTGTAATGCTGGGAGGTTTGGCTTTCTCCAAGTCCATGCAACTTACTTTGCAAGTAAGTTAGTTCGTGATTGTGTATGCTTGCTGTTGACTGTAAACGTCACGTACACCAACATTGTCGTTCCCATCACGATAGGCGTCAGCCTTTGGCCGTTTGGGTAATCCTGAAATAAGGGCCTGGTCAGACTGCGGCAAATGTTCGGTGCCTGACGAAAAAAGAAAAGCGTCCAGAATAATCGCGATCACACTACACATGTGGGGAGAATGAAAATTCAAACTTCATTTCGAGCGTCAAGTGGTAGTCCACGAACGACGTCAACTTCCTTCACCTTGGGGATCGCCAACACCTACATGTACATGTAAGTCCTTCAGTGCAATCCTTGCAACCATCCTTATGAGTTTTGTTGTTGTCCGTTGCCAATAATTACATGTACATGTAGCTCCTCGACATCGAGATGAAAAAATCAGTGAATATCAGCGTCAATGGCGTATCAGCGTCAAACTCCTGTTTGGAGCGTCAACTCTCGATTTTGCCGCTCTGGCGGCAAGTTACTATACGTACATGTACTGTACATGTATATACTATGGAGTATGGAGATTCGGATTATAGTCGCAGGATTATTTCGTTTTTCCCGCAGTTTGACCAGGCCCTTCAAAGATTATTATTATTATTATTACATGTATCACCACCAGGTATCACCATGCACTACCATCACGGTGCATGTCCAGTACAATCATGTACATGTACAAAGTCATTGTACATGACTGTACAGTATGTATTCATAGGTGCCAAAATACGTATTAAAAAATAAATAAATGTTATTTTGTACAACAAAAAAAAACAGTATGTATTCTGTCCCTCCAGGAAATCGCGATTCCACGGATGCAACAAATTTCGCGATTTTTGCCCAAACTCGCGATTTTCAGCAAAATCCGGGACTTCCTGCGTTTTTTGTTGTTTTCTGCACTATACTATGATCTCACTTTTTCTGCACTTTTCACGCAGTGCTTTCCATGATCCTGTAGGTTATTTGCACTCGTACTACCATGTACTACTGGCCGAGTAGATATAGGATGCAACAAATTGCGTGATTTGGCCCAAATCTGCAATTTTCTGTAAATAATTCCGCGAATTCCTGGCAAGTTCTGCATCGTTCCGCACTTTTCGGCGCATTTTTTGTTGTTTTCTGCCGCAATTTTTTGCGCAAGTTTTCGAGAGTTTTTTCCGCAAATTCCCGCAGGGACAGTTCAATATTAGCACTACTGAGTACAGTACTGTGTGTGCTGGACACAAAGTAATAGTTTTGTTTATGCAATCATGCAAAATGTGAGAACAACAACAACTGTCTGTACGAGTACTTGCTGCATGCCAGTCCTTCCACTTACTACGAGTAAAAATACTCAGCACACGCTACCACCAAGGCAAGAGTACATAACCACGTACACGTACATATACATGTAAATGTATGTATTCTTGGTACTGTACCACAATCCACATACCAGAGCCTGGGTGGCGGTGGATTTTTTCTTCTTGTGGTTTAATATATGAGCTTGAAACTGTGGAAGCACACACGGGGCCCTAGGCCTAGCCTAGGCCCTGTCTCCCTCTCTGTACTGTACAACTACAGTACAAGCCAGTGGTAGATCTACAATGTACATGTACTTGACCTACAACCAGACTCAAGACTGACAAGAGTCAACAAGACTGGGGCTGAGACTGAAAGTCATTATCACAGTCATGTGTACATGTATATGTACATGTATTACTCAATCTGCGGACAGCATGCTGTTTCGTTCTTTTGTGAACTCATGACATCAGCGCAGCACAGAGGAAATGAGGCCGAACCTGATAGCAATGAAAATAAAAAATTCCAATGATTGGCAATCAGGCCCGAACGTACCTAGCCAGAGTGCTCAAACTGACAAGTCAATGAGCTCTGCGTAATGCAAACAGCAAAGGCACTACCCCAGAGTGCTCAACTGCTACAGTACAAGAGCAGGAGCGAAAATACTCGTACATGTATTATTATTTATTTATATTAACTATAACTATACAAAAGTCATGTACATGTACATGTACATGTACATGTACATGTAAGTAGAACGGGGCCGACCAGTCCTTATTAGTATTACTTTGTAGCCAGCGTAGATACATGTGCATGATCGATAGAGCTAGCTCTAGGCCCTACTAAAAGCTGATTACCTTTTCTCCGCTCACTACATACATGTACTCAGTAGTACTGTTGTGTGTTGGAGACTCTACATTGTAATGTATGGTGTGTATATGCGCAAGCATGATTATGGCTCGTGTCAGTGGGTGGTATCCCATCCCAATGGCAATGCTATTCCCCGTATCATGTGATTATCAGAACCGTAGGATCGAGGGAGGAGGATAGCCCCCTTATCTGATCCTCAGTGGTATGACAAAGGAATGAGGCTGATCACGGTGCGTCAGCTAGCCAGGCTAGGCTAGGCTATTGGCAGCAGCTACATGTACTTGACCATGTTACCTGCTCTTGCCTTTGATGTGTCTGTCGTTTTGCAGAACAAAGGGAACAAGAGAGAAGCCATTCCTCGGGCTCTGCAGCTTGCCCTGTGTCTCTGTGGGGAGCAGTTTGCCGTTGCCGTAGTGTCGAGCCGCGTAGCCAGTAGACTGTACATCATGGTACTTGTAGTACGCTAGTGTCACAGCGAGGCGCTGGCCCAGCAACCTGGGAGTGGGAAGTGGAGCGGAGCTTCAAGTTCAAGCACAACACTCGACTCGTGCCCAGCTACAGTAACTGTTGCTCTCGCCTTCAAATCCGTCTCAGAGGTTTGAGAGGAATCGAAGCCATTTCCTCCTCTCCAGTCACGTGATCTTTACCTATCAAAACTGTTCGTTTGGCTCGAGCACCTGTCTTCCTCTCACTCTCAGTCAAGTCCGCAATGAGAGTGAGAACGAAGCTTCCTCTTTCACTGCTCTGACGGACCTCAGCTAGTAGTAGTATTGTAGTAACGGTGTAGCGTCCTCTCATCTGAGACGGCTAGGTGTGCTGTGCGGAAGAAGCTGAATTGTGCGCACGGCCACGAAGAACCAGCGACGACGTCGACAGTCTGACTCTGGGCGTCTTGCGTGTTGCGCGCTAGCCCTCACTCTCAGCGCATTCGCTGAGTGGATCCCGTCACTCGCTACCACGTCAGATCGCCCCCCCCCCCCCCCCCCGTCCTCCATCTCGCGCGATCAATATACGATCATCCTACCATGACGTCAGAAAGCAACGCCTGTCAGCTTGTGGGACAGCCACTGCGAAGCCATGGTAATCATAATGGACACGATCTGCTCTGTCAGCAGCAACGGGAGCAAATCGACGGTGGCCGGCGAAGTACACAATGTCATAGTGGAGGGCTGTCGACGCTTGAAGACCTGGCCCCACCAAGGCCAAGGCCAAGAGCGGACAGTCACCAGTCACAGAAGCAGCAGCATATGCACCGCAGGGTGAAAAGGTTTGGATGGCGCAGTAGCTGCTATGCTACTGCTGCTGCTCTGAAAGACGAGGACAGGACGAGGACATCCAGCTGCGTTGCCTTGTACACTAAAGGCCTCCACATGTTCAGGATGGGTGACCGAGAGCTG